TTGCTTCACTTTATAGTATACTGATATTTAAATCACACATAAATATAAAGTAAGTAAATGTTAAAGAATTTAAATAAAAATGCAAGCTGTTTAAAAATTATAATTACTTATATTTCGATATGTATTTAACAAAAAAAATGTATATATATATATTTGTATATTACTTTTTCTGAGCTTACTGATTTTTGTTAAGATAAGTGATTTTTTTGTTTCTAGTGTTGTGGGAAAGGTTTTATTATTAATAAAAACAATAATTCTAATTTATTTGAAATCTTATTTTTGGTACTTATAAAATAAAGGATTTAAAATTATGGAATTTTGATTCGCAAAAATATTCTTCTGTGATGTGCATATGTATATCTATTTGTTAAAAAATTTACTGCGTATGGTAATATGAGTTAAGTTACATTAAATATTGATTATCTAAATGTATCTTTAAACTAGAAATTTTAAAAAAATTTTTTCCAGCGCTAAACGCAACGCAAGAAAACTTTAATGTACGTATTTGACACAGTTAAGTAATTAATGAATAAACTTTTTTTGTATGTCTGTGTGTTCATACGTCTGTGTGTGGTTTGCATCATCAACTGTGCATTTTTACAAAAATCAAGAATTCAATTAAAATAATTTTTCAATTAAAATGATAAACAGAAAAGGAAACATTTTAATGCATTTAATAATACATTACAAAAGTTAATATTAATATTATCAACATAAATTTCATTGTCACAATATGAAAATGTTACATTTTAATAACAGAAAATTCTAAATCATGTTACAGAATTTTATGCGAATGGAATTTAATCGCAATTTTATATTATTGATAAAGCTCAAGTTTTTATTATTGTTATTAATTATTTCAATCTATTTCTAAAATCTTTACTCGTTTATAATTTATAAGAAATGCAGATTGTTTTGTGATGATTTATGTAATGACATTTTAATTTTAATTGTAAGTGTTGTTAAGATACAAAAATCGAATACAAAGGAATATAAAAATTTAGTCAAGGTGGGTTAATATTTTCTTATATCCGGGAGTGATCGATATTCGTGATTGTTAACAAAGTGATAAAGCATTTCTGACAAGCATTTCTCGTAAACTCAAAATGTCACTCTCCTAATTCTCCAAGTTTGACATTAAGTGTCAAGTATATGCAACACATGTCACGTTTGTCAGACAAAGATGTACCCGTATAGTATAACTCTAAAACTGTCTAAGGTTATGCAGATTATCGAGTGTAATCACAGATAATGGTATTTCCTAGGATATCAATATTGATGCGAGTACATGTATGAGTTTAAACCGATAAATGCAGAATGTAGTACTTTTAAATTCTTGTCGTAAGTAATAAAGATAAGAATAAGAGTAAACTACCGATTATACTACTTATATATTTTAGCCAATAGATTAATTTATGCATCTTATATTTGTTTATTCATTTTCACTCATTATTAACAACAGTAACATTTGTTAAAATCTCTTATTATATGATTGGAACAATTTTCTACCATTATTTCCTACAAATACACAGAATAAATAATATTTCTAATGATAATAATAAACGATAATAATTGTTGAACATAGAATATTTAATAATTCGCAATTTCTGCTAGTACGAAAAGAAAAATTGGAATAATCATAACGGAGGAACAATTTCTGATAAATACTCCCTAGTTAATCTTTAGGGTTTCTTTGGGTTTCTGAATCCTAGAAATCTTTCTTGACCAACGTTCTACATTGTGCGAAAGTATTAATTATAATTTTAAAATATATATAAACTAGTTTAACGGAAAATAAATAATTCAGTCATTATACAATCGGGCAAGATTTTCAACGTCTATTAATTTTTGAATTTATTCAACTTTTAAATTTAAAAATTAAAAAGACTAATAGGTGTCTACACATGTGTGTAGACATTTGTATCGCGAATTAATTAAATATCTATATTTAATAAATTAGTTTTTAAGTTAATTTTTTTTTTTATACAATTTACACACATTTGTATCGCTATTGTGTTAAACTAAGTAAGAAAGAGTACACAATAATATTTTGTTTGTCTATATGTATTATTACTACAAGAAAAGTAATAAATAATGAAAGAGTGAAAGGAAATGAAACAGGAATTGATATCAATAATATCATTAAGATGTATAGAAAGGTAGTGTTCTCGGTGACTTGACATCCGAAACACTACCGTGTCTCCTGATATATCTTTCAATTTATATTTTACAATTTACTTTTCGCTTTTCGCGATTCTTTGTACGTCTTTTGATAAAAATTATAAAATAAATAGAAATTTATCAAGACATCTATAATAAATATTATAATAATCCAATTATTCACTACCTTGCAACCTAGTATGAGTGGATGTGATGTATACAAAATTATCACAACAAATTGCACCTGCAAATAAGAAAGTTCAATTAATTTATTACTTATCTTGAATCTAATATCGATTTCATGTATATTTAAACTCAATTAATTTATATTTGTAATGAAATAAAAGAGATGCAAAATATTCTCGGTTGCTCTGTTCATTTGCTCGTTCATTTGTACAAAAAAAAAAAGTATTATCGTGTTATAAAAGTATTATCAATTGAACATGAAATATATAAGGTAGTTTGAAGAAAATTCAAAAGAATGATATGACAACATAAGAAATGTGAAGAAAAATTAGGAGAATTTACCATTTGTGCTATAGTTATCCATCGTTTCATAGGTGCAATAGCTTTTTGAACATTTGGTCCGTAGGCCGCTAGGAAGTAGTATGTGTACATTATGGTGTGTATAAAGATGTTTAGCATGCTTATAAATATCATGGGAACGACAATATAATATCTTACGCCTGCCCACGTTAAAAATAAGGTAGATACATGATGGTATAAATGTAGAACGGACACCTGATTGTCCTTCTTTCTTAATATAAATATACCCGTCTCGACACAGTCTAATATTTTCAACAGGAAATAGTAATATGCATTTTTCACAAACTGCAACAATTTTAAATGTTATCAATCATTTTCGATATATTTGTTTTATAAAATAAATATAGAACATTATACGTGTAAAATATATTTTATAAAACAAATGTAAATGTAAATGGAAATTTAATATTATTTTTTATTTTAATATATTGTTAATTATATTAATATATATATTTTGATCGTGTAAATAATTTCTAAGATGAAAATATATGCTACTAACAGAAAATTATCCTTTTCTCTTTTTCTGTATTTAACTTTAACTTTTACTTTGTTTTCCCAGCAAAACTTAATCGAAGGTTTTTTTTATTATATTACTTTTACAAAAATATTATATAGAGAATTACAGAGATATAGCGAACTCTTTTTTATAAATATTAGCTTTATAAATAGATATCTGTCGACGGCATACATTTTCTCAGTAAATAGCTTACGTATAAATTATTACCCTCATTGAACTATAATCAAAAACGGGACAGATTAATTTGCACGAGAACAAACCAACGTTAATACAATCATATAATAACCATCCGTTTCCCACAATTTGGACTATGTTATATAATTTCATAAACGTCTCCAATGAATATGGCGACTTGTTCTTCATGAATCGAGGCCCACAGACGAGTACGAAGTATAAATATGCAAATATTATAAGTGGTACTTGATAGGAAGAAGCGACGAATAGTAAATCAGCCACTCGTGGATCTAAAAGTCAAATTAGTTTATTGAAATACGTTTAGACACATTAAACAAAGAAAATATATTATTTTTATAAAGACAAACAGAGCTATTAATTATGAAAAAATATCGCACTTTGATTAGCATTTTAAGTTTTTCAATTATGTAAAATGATTGTGATTGAACTGACATTCCATGGTAAATATTCGAATAAACTGGTGAATAAACTTTTTTTTCGTAAGATTATTTGTTAATTTATTATTCATATATTATTATTATTATTATTATTATTATTATTATTATTGCTTATATACAAATGCTGACGTTTTATACATTTACATTAAAGTTATCATATTATTTCTATTTTTACGTCATTTTTATTTACTTTAAAAAAAACTAACAAATTTAAAGATTCCAATTAAAAAAATATAATTTCTTGTTCTTATAATTTTACGGATAAGCTTGATATTCAGTAATATTATTGACCAAGTTTTTCATACAAAGTCTTTCTGTGAATAAAGTTTCTCTCAAAAAAATTTTATAAATTGCTGCTTTGGATCGTCATTTTGAAGAGAGCACCTACCCAATTGTTCTGTCCAATAATGCGATATATCCTGTAAGAGACCCATGATAGGCGCAGTAGGCACAGTACTAACAGTTTTGTAATTCGCCAATTTTATTATACAAGATTTCACCGTTCAATTTTACCCTCGAAGCAACTGAATCGATGAACCGATCGTGCATTATCATCTAGCACGCACAGTCATCTACCGCGCTTTTTCATTGTATTTATATCGCCGGCTATTCCGTACTTTGTACTGATTTCCTCATGTAAGAAATATAATTTTGAACTCCTAATGTATGTACATAATTTTATTATATGACCTTAAAATGCCTGTGTAACAATGTCACAATGTGACGTACGTATTAATTAAAATTGATTGCAATAAAATACTAATTCCAATCAACAAATGGTAATTTATAAATATGACACTTGATACAATTAAAAAGAAAAAAAATAGACTTTAGCACTTGATTACAATTTAAACGAATCTTTTCATAACTAGAATTATTTTTGTATTTTTTTTTGCAGATTGTAAGTTTTGTTGTTATTTTGTTGTATCCTTGCAGTATCGTTGTTATCCTTGAAGTTTGAATTATTGCATTATAATTGATTGATTTTATTTTAATAAGTTTTTAATTTTATAGATTTTTGTTACATAATTTTTTAATTTTTACTTCAAATAATTTTTCCAATAAATTTCGTCTTCATAAAAATCTATAAAAAAATGTTTGTAATCTTTAATTCAATAATTTATTTTTAACTGTACGAAA